CATTTTGAAAAGAAAAGAAAGCAGCCAACATCTACGGTCTCCCCACCTGCTCTTTGCAGAGTCTGCTCCTTAATTAAGCACATCACCCCTGCTCACCTCATCTTCCTGACAGCGAGGCTGCCAGCCGTTGGCCCCATTTAGATGAGCAACGGACTCAAGGGGGCAGGGGGACAAGCCCAAGTTCACTGGGGGAAGGGGCAGCCCCAGCACCTACTGTCAGTTTGACTATAAATTTCACTACACAGAGGCTGCCCCTCAGATAGAGACTGCCCACACTCAAAAGTTCACACTCCAGGTAGAGAAACAGTGGTCAGTAGCCCCTGTATTTGGTTGGACATGTTGACACATGGGTTTCTACCAACAGCCAGGAGCCAGGGACAAGTGTGGGCTTTGTGGGAACAGAATGGAGTAGGAATCCTGACTGTGCTGTATGGCCTTAGGAAAGTTACTGCATGTCTCTGGTGTCAGTACCTATCCTCTGGAAATTGAGTATAAGAGTGCTCACTTCAGAGAGTTGTTGGGAAAAGTAAGTGAAATGCCCAAACCAAACATGGAAGTCACTAACCTCCAAGCTTCAGCCACATGTCTGGCCCTGAAGAGCCCAGGGTCCTCCTTCCGAAGTAAATCCTGCCAGGCTGGGGTCTCAGGCGCTCCACTTTGGACTCAGGTTTCTCTGGTTCTCTTCAAGTCACCCTTCTGTCCAGCCCTCCCCTGGCCCCACAATCCTGCTCATCCTTTTCCCCAGAGTCTCCCCAGGGCCCCATCTGAGCACCAGTTGCTAGGGTTAAGCCTTCCTCTTAAAGGGACATGAGTAGCAGCCAAAGGACTGTCCCCACCTGGTACTCCTGGGTCTGTACCTCAGGGCAAGTCACTCCCCTTCTCTGAGTTTCAGCAATTTCACCATCATCAGTGGAATGTGTTGTGGAGAATTCAGGAAGACCGTAGGAAAGGGATTTGTAAGGGGACCATTTGTAAGAGGACACTGATGCTTATGTTTGTCTTTAGAAAGGTGGATCCAGTCCATAGGAGCCAAAAAATGTACTGCCCAGTGGGCCGCATCCCAGATCTAGATATCTGCACCAGGAGTGGGGCCCAGGGATCAGCACTTACCCAGTTTCCTTGGAATTCTTCAGAAATGGAACAGGCAAATGAAGATATGTGTTCAAGTATCCAGTATGGTGGCTTACCCATAGTAGAGGAATAATAAATATCAGTTCTTACAATCTCACCTTTTACAGTCCGATTAGGTGGGGTTTATATCCATGCTATATAAAGAAACTGAAACCTGGTGAGGAAAGATGTGCTGTCCAAGTCCTTATAATTAGTCAGGATCAAACTGCAGTTCTGATTCTGGCTCCAGTGACCTCCCCAGGACTCCTCAGCTACCCAGACAGAAAAACAAACAATCTATCAAGAGAATTGTGCATGGCAGTGCCACTCATGTGTGTGTGGATGTGTATGTCCCTGTAGGAACAAAACTGCCGAAGTGGACCATAAGTGTCAGGACAAAGACGGTAGAAGCAGCAAAAAATGAACTCAGGCACGGTGGCTCACACCTATAATCCCAGTGTGATTGCACACCTGTGATCCCTATTCCAATTTGTGAAGCCAAGGTAGAAAGATCACTTGAACCCAGAAGTTCAAGACCAGCCTGGGAAATATAGTGAGACCTCATCTCTACAAAAAAATAAAAATAAAAAAAGTGGTGGTACACAGCTAGGCGTGGTGGTACACATCTGCAATCCCAGCTACTTGGAAGGCTGAGGCAAGAAGCTTGTTTGAGCCCAGGAGTTTGAGGCTGCAGTGAGCCATGTTTGTGCCACTGCACTCCAGCCTGGGTGACAGAGCAAGACTTTGAATAATAATAATAATAAAAGCAACAAAAATGCCCACCAGGCACCCTCCAGCTGAAGGGCATCCCGGGAGAGCACAGAGGGAAGCAGAGATGGGCCTTGGCCTTTGGCCAAAGGAGAAAGAAATGGAGAGGAAACCACAGTTCGTACACTGAAAAGGGGGGAAAAACTTTGAAATTCACCAGTAGCTGGGCTCGGTGGCTCAGCCTGTAATCCCGTGCCTTGGAAGGCTGAGGTGAGTGGATTGCCGTGGGTTCGAGACCCGCTTGGGCAACTTGGCGAGACCTCATCTCTACAATAAATCAAAAACTAGCTGGGCGTGGTAGCGCGCGCCTGTGGTTCTGGCTACTTGGAAGGCAGAGGCGGAAGGATCACTGGATCCCAGCAGGTAGAGGCTGCGATGACTGGAAGCGGCCACTGCACTCCAGTCTGGGCGATGGAGTGAGACTCCAACTCACAAAATAAATAAATAAATAAATAAAGTCACCAGTAACCAGAAACGGTTTGCTACTTTTCCACTACAAAAATGGGATTATACCTGTAATCCCAACACTTTGGGAGGCCGAGGTGAGTGGATTGCCTGAGCCCGTGGGTTCAAGACCCGCCTGGGCAACTTCACAAGACCTCATCTCTACAACAAATCAAAAATTAGCTGGGCGTGGTAGCGCATACCTGTAGTTCCAACTACTTGGAAGGCTGAGGTGAAAGGATCGCCGGAGCCCAGCAGATAGAGGCTGCGGTAGCCGGGAGCGGCCATTGCACTCCAGTCTGGGCGACAGAGTGAGACTCCAATTCAAAAAAAAAAATGGGATTATGCTTTTTCCATTTTAAATATACTACAATGCAGATTTTTGTGGCTTCATGGCATTTCATCTTATAGATGGGCCTTAGTTAATTTAAGTAATCCTGCTTTTTTCCCCTTCCTATTTTCTAAAAGTTGAATTGCTGGCTCAAAGGAGCTGCACATTTTTAAGGCTTTTAATTTTTCTTTTTTTGAGTCAGAGTCTCACTCTTTTGCCCAGGATGGAGTGCAGTGTCACGCTCACGGCCACCGCAGCCTTGACCTGCTGGACCCAGGTGATCCTTCCACTTCAGCCTTCCAAGTAGCTGGAACCACACCGGGCTTATTTTTTTTTTTTTTTTTTTTAGTTGAAGTCTCACTCTGTCACCCAGACTGGAGTACAGTGGCCACTCCCGGCCACCGCAGCCTCGACCTGCTGCGCTCCTGCGAAGTTGGAACTACAGGCGCACACTACCACGCCCGGTTAATTTTTTTTTAATTTATTGTAGAGATGAGGTCTCGCCAAGTTGCCCGGGTGGGTCTCAAACCCACGGGCTCGGGCAAACCATTCACCTCGGCCTCCCAAAGCGCTGGGATTACAGGCTGAGCCACCAAGCCCGGCCAAATTTTTTATTTTTTGTAGAAACAAGGTCTCTCACCATGTTACTCAGGCTGGTCTGGAACTCCTGAGCTCAGGCAATCCTCTTGCCTCCGCCTCCCAAAGTGCTGGGATTATAGGTTGAACCACCATGCCTGGCTGGTTCATAATTTTTAAACACATGTAATAGCTGTTGAATTAGTAACAGCATTAAGCAATTCTATACAAATTTTCCTTTGGTGTTGGCTTGTTGTGTACTTGGTACTCTGTGGGCTCTTTTACATTATTTATGTATTTATGTATGTATTTATGTATTTATTCATTCATTCATTCATTCATTCATTTATTTATTTTGAGTTGGAATCTCACTCAGTCGCCCAGACTGGAATGCAGTGGCCGCTCCCAACCACCGCAGCCTCGGCCTGCTGGGCTCCGGCGATCCTTCCGCCTCAGCCTTCCGAGTAGCCAGAATTACAGGCATGCGCTACCACGCCCGGCTGATTTTTTGATTTATTGTAGAGATGAGGTCTCGCTGCCCAGGCGGGTCTCGAACCCGCGGGCTCAGGCAATCCACTCACCTCAGCCTCCCAAAGGCGCGGGATTACAGGCTGAGCCACCGAGCCCGGCTGATTATTTATTTTAATGGGCAAACCAATTCTCCAAAGTAGGAGATGTTCTTCCCATTTCGTAAGGAAAGACACAAAGGCTCTGAGAGGTGAAGTGACATGTCCAAGGTTACATAATGCTGAGAAGGTTACATAGAACTGGGAGGACAACCTCAAACTGGCTCCAAAGTCAACGCTATAGTTAAATAATTTTGAATAGAATATGAGAAGGTTTCTTGAAGGAGAGGGACCCTGAGCTGGGCCTTATGGGTGGACAGAATGACATCAGGAAGAGTAAGGGTTGGGGAAGGCCATCCCACAAAGTCCAGATTCTGAGCAAAGGTCATCAGCAGATTTCTTTTTTTTTTTTTTTTTTTGAGTCGGAGTCTCACTCTGTCGCCCAGACTGGAGTGCAGTGGCCGCTTCCGGCCACCGCAGCCTCGAGCCGCTGGGCTCCGGCGATCCTTCCGCCTCAGCCTTCCGAGTAGCCGGAACTACAGGCGCGCGCCGCCACACCCGGCTGATTTTTTGATGTATTGTAGAGATGAGGTCTCGCTGCCCAGGCGGGTCTCGAACCCGCGGGCTCAGGCCATCCACTCACCTCAGCCTCCCAAAGGCGCGGGATTACAGGCTGAGCCACCGAGCCCAGCTAGGAGATTTCTTAAAGCTCAAGGTTTGTAGGGCAAAGAGATTGCCCTGCAAACCTTGGGAGAGTGGGGAGCGGGCCCAGCTCTCGTAGTCCCGCCCTCGCCCGCCTGACACGGCACTGCGGGGTCGAGGCCCCGCCCAGTCCATCCCCTTCTCCGTTTGTGGCGATGGCTATCAACCGCCACGGTCCAATTCGGGCCCCGCCCCTGTCTTCCGGGTTCGATTCCTCACTTCCCGCCGGGCCCAGGCTCAGGCCCCACCTCCGTCAGGTTTGGAGCAACCCAACCGAACCTCTAGGGCTCTGCTCCGCCCTGTGCCACGCCCCTTCTCCGACTGGTGCAATCAGAACCATCTCTGCGTCTCTCCGGCCCTGCCCCTGCCTGGTCCGAGCCGTCCTTCTCCCGCTACGATCAAGCCCTAGCCACGCCCCCTCCCTCATTTGGCCCTTCAGGCTGGTCCTGCCGGCCCCGCCCCCGGCCCCGCCCCGTGGCTCTGCCCCCCGCGCGCTCAGCCTGGCGCGCTGAGCTGCAGCCATGGCGGTCACCGCCGAGGGCGCCCGCAGGAAGGAGCGCGTCCTCTGCTTATTTGACGTGGACGGAACCCTCACGCCGGCTCGGCAGGTAGGACCCTGACGTTGGGAAGAAAGCTCCCGACGGGAGGATCACGCAGACACACCGAGGCTGAGTGTGGGGCCTGCAGAAGCGTGACCGCGGACACCTGGAACCGAGTGTGGGATGCAGCGGTACCCACCTGACCTTCCGGGGCCACTTCACTGGGAGTGATGGGGTCCCGGGCCCCCACGTCGCAGCTCCCTGGATGTCCGCGCCCACCTTCTGCCTGGGAGTGTTGGGATGGGTCCAATTCTGGAGGGAAGAGGCTGCGAGCGGCGACTTAGCTCTTTCCCCCAGAGGCTTCCACACGGTGAGGCTTGGCTCCAGGCAGCACCCGCCTTCCCAATCGGTGCTCCCACCCGAGTTCACCCCTAGAACGCACCAGACGTCCGAGCTGGCTTCTGAACCAGGGTTCTAGGCGGACACCCAAGCGTCAGTCACCGTCTTGTGGGCGGCAAGGGTCTCGGATCCATCCCATCCCGTCCTTTGCAGGCCTGGGTCTGGATCTCATTTCTCAAGCCCCTCAACCATTTTACCTTCTTCCCCTAGTTGTGGAGGGAAAGAGGGTTTCTTTTCCCGTGAGTTTATGGGCTCTGTCCACCGGGTGGTGAGAAGGTTCCAGGCCTAGTAAGTTTACAATGAGGACATTGAGGCATAATGAGGGTGGGAGTGTAGTTTTCCTCCTAAGGCATCCCATGGTGTTTACGCTCCATCCTCTGCTCAGTTTTTCAGCCTGGTTAAGTCCCCAGATCCCCCCTCATCAGCTTGATGCATGAATAAGCAAGCTCCATTCATGCTTACCCTATGGGTATTCCACCCTCTAGTCTGGGGGCCACAAGGATCAACTGAGGGATCTCCTAGAGCACTGAAGCATGGGTTATTGGGAAGAGGCAGATGAGAATCCTAAGGTCTTAGCCTCCTAAGTCCTGAATGCCCCTCCCCTTCCCCTATGGTGGAGTCCTGGCTTGAGTCCTGGAGGCTCAGGGAGGGATCAGGCTTCCCCATCTTCCTGCAGGGGTGTATCAGGGAAGAAGATGGCAGAACTGGATAGAGGGTGGCAGAGCATAAGTCCAGTCCCAGCACTTCCTTCTGACCCTTTGCTTCACTGACATAACAGCCTGAGCAAGAAATGCATGTTGTCTATGGGCCACGCCCTGTGCTTAGTGATTTTCAAAAGTTAATTTTTAATTATATGCATACTCATGAGAACAGTCCTTGTAAAGAATGAAAACATAACAGAGAAGGGTAAAGTTCCTTCTGACCATGCCAGGATCTCAGGCCTGGCCCCCTCCCTGAAGTAATGTGGTTGCCAGTGTGGCGTAGCTTCCTTCCAGACCTTTATCTGGATTTGTTTGCACAGAGAAAATATTAAGCATTGTTTCGTGAGGCTTTTTTGTTGTTCTTTGGCTCCTCAAGAGTCAACTTGATTGTGAGGCTATTTTTAGTTAAGTGGCATTATAGCATGTCTTGGGACCCTGCCATGTTGGAAGCACATTTGCCTTATTCTGTGTAACCACAGTATAGTATTTCAGAATAGATATGTTCCATTCTCTGACAAGCATGTAAGAAGTTTGCCATTTTTTGCTGTTATAAACCATACTCTAATGACCCTCCATATACACCTGGGTAAGAAAAGTGGAAATTCTAGATGACGGGGCACTTGAATTTTTTTTTTAAGTAGGAGTCTTACCAGGCTAGAGTACAGTGGCGCGTTCCTGGCCACCGCAACCTTGAGCTGCTGGGCTCAGATGATCCTTCCGCCTCAGCTTTCCAAGTAACTGGAACTACAGGCACGGACCACCACACCTGGTTAATTTTTTTATTTATTGTAGAGTGAGGTCTCGCCAAGTTGCCCAGGCTGATCGCGAACCCATGGGCTCAGGCAATCCTCAGCCTCCCAAAGTACTGATGTTATAGGTATGAGCCACTGCACCCAGCCTGGCACTTGCATTTTAAGATTTATTTGATTTTTTTGGAAATGGGGTCTTGCTGTGTTGCTCAGGCTGCCCTTGAACTCCTGAGTTCAAGTGATCCTCCTTAGCCTTCAAGTAGCTGGCACACTTGCCACTTAATCTTTTCAAATTAACCGTCAAAGTGGCTTTACTAATTTACATTCTCATCAACAGCATTTGAAAGTGCCTGGGTTTTTAATAAATCATAATTTTATTTTTTAAATTCTATTTTGTCAGCCGGGCGTGGTGGCTCATGCCTATAATCCCAGTATGTTGGGGGGCCGAGCCAGGAGGATTATTTGAGCCCAGAAGTTAAAGACCAGCCTGGACAATATAGTAAGACCTTGTCTCTACAAAAAAGTCAAAACATTAGATGGGCATGGTGGTGCGTGCTTGCAGTTCTAGCTACTTGGGAGGCTGAGGTGGGAGGATTGCTTGAGTCCAGTTTGAGGCTGCAATGAGCTGTGATTGTGCCACTGCCCTCCAGTCTGGATGACAGAATGAGACCTCAACTCAAAAAAACCAATTCTGTTTTATGGAAAATTTTCCATCTTTCAAATCTCAGACCTGTATGAGACCAAGTGCATATAATTTCCCAGTGTAGATCCAGGTCCAGGTAGAATGTGGGATCTGTGTGTTCTGAGCACTGAGTGACGGCTAAGTGGTGGTCCCAGACATGCTGACACCCAGAATCCTGTGCTTCCTCCATCCCCCACAGAAAATTGACCCCGAGGTGGCCGCCTTCCTGCAGAAGCTTCGAAGTAGAGTACAGATCGGTGTGGTGGGTGGCTCCGACTACTCTAAGATTGCTGAGCAGCTGGGTGACGGGGATGAAGGTAGGAGTGGGGAATGGGGTTGGAGGAATGGGGTTGGAGTTCAGGAAATCTCTCACAACTCCAAAGACCCAGTCCTGTATCAGTGGAACAGACAGAGTAGAGAGGGAGGAGCCAGATGGTTTCCTGGCTGATTTAAAAAAACATTTAAGCCGGGCTCGGTGGCTCAGCCTGTAATCCCGCACTTTGGGAGGCTAAGGTGAGTGGATTGCCTGAGCCCGCGGGTTCGAGACCCGCCTGGGCAACTTGGCAAGACCTCATCTCTACAATAAATCAAAAAATTAGCCGGGCATGGTATTGTGCGCCTGTAGTTCCAGTTACTTGGAAGGCTGAGGCGGAAGGATCACCGGAGCCCAGCAGGTCAAGGCTGCAGGGGTTGGGAGTGGCCACTGCACTCCAGTCTGGGCGATAGAGTGAAACTCCAACTCAAAAAAAAAAATTAAAAACAGGCCGGGCTCGGTGTCTCAGTCTGTAATCCCAGCACTTTGCGTGGCCAGGGTGAGTGGATTGCCTGAGCCCATGGGGTCAAGACCACCCCGGGCAACTTGGTGAGACCTCGTCTCTACAATAAATAAATAAAAAATTAGCCAGGCGTGGTAGTGCATGCCTATGGTTCTGGCTACTTGAAAGGCTGAGACAGAAGGATTGCCGGAGCCTAGCAGGTCGATTCCGGGGAGGCCGTGAGTGTGTCACTGCACTCCAACCTGGGTGACAGAGTGAGATTCCAACTTAAAAAAAAAAAATTAGCCGGGCTCAGTGGCTCAGCCTGTAATCCCGCGCCTTTGGGAGGCTGAGGTGAGTGGATTGCCTGAGCCCACGGGTTCAAGACCCGCCTGGGCAGCGAGACCTCATCTCTACAATAAATCAAAAAGAAAATCAGCTGGGCGTGGTAGCTCATGCCTGTAATTCCGGCTACTCGGAAGGCTGAGGCGGAAGGATCGCGGGAGCGGCCACTGCACTCCAGTCTGGGTGACAGAGTGAGACTCCAACTCAATTTAGTGGTCAGGTGCAGTGGCTTATGCCTATAATCCCAGCACTTTGGGAGGCAGAGGGAGAGGATTTCCTGTGTCCAGGGGTTCAAGACCAGCCTGGGCAACTTGGCAAGACCTCATCTCTACAATAAATAAAAAAATTAGTGGGCACAGTGGCTCATGCCAGTAGTTCCAGCTACTTGGAAGGCTGAGGTGGAAGGATCACCTGAGCCCAGCAGGCTGATGCTGCGGTGGCTATGAGCATGCCACTGCACTCCAGCTTGGGCAACAGAGTGAAACTCCTACTCAAAAACAACAAAACCAGCCAGGCTCTGTGGCTCAGCCTGTAATCCCGTGCCTTGGGAGGCTGAGGTGAGTGGATTGCCTGAGCCTGCGGGTTCGAGACCCGCCTGGGCAACTTGGTGAGACCTCATCTCTACAATAAATAAAAAAATTAACCGAACGTGGTAGCTCGCGCCTGTAGTTCCAGCTGCTTGGAAGGCTGAGGCGGAAGGATCGCCAGAGCAGAGCAGGTCGAGGCTGTGATGGCCGAGAGCGGCCATTGCACTCCAGTCTGGGCAACAGAGTGAGACTCCAACTCCAACTCCAAAAAAAAAAAAAACCTTTAGTGAACACCTGCTACTACCAGGCATTGTGCTAGGCTCTAGAGAATCAGCTGGGAACAAAGCAGGAAGAATCCTCCCCATATTTACTTTACATTCTCATTTCTTCTTGCTGAGTCTTGATTTCCTCATCTTAAAATGGGCATAATAATGGCTACCACATGTTGAAAATGACCACGTGTTAGCCAGGTGGTGTGTGCCCGTAGTCCTAGCTACTTGGAAGTCTGAGGCAGAAGGATTGCCTGAGCCTAGCAGATCAAGGATGCGGTAGCCATGATCATGCTGCTGCACTCCAGCATCCCATTTAACAAAGGAAGACTCTGAAGTTATTCAGGAAATTGTTTGGCCCTCAGAGCCCCTGGTCTTGGCTCAGTCAAAGCAGGTGCTTCTAGCTCCTCAAACAAGAAACTCCCTTGAATTCTCCCTTTCCCCCACCCCTTGTTCATTCCATCAGCAAACCCAAAAATATCTCCCCATTCTTTCTGTGTCTCCATCTCCACCACCCCATCATAGTCCAGGTGATCATATACCACCCAAACCCTGCAACAGCCTCCTGGTTGTGCTCCCTGCGCTCCTTTCCATCCCCGTCCCACCCACTCCAGCTGCTTCTTGTGGCTGCCAGAGCTGAAAACTCGTACTCCCCCAGGCAACCAGCCTTGGGAACACAGAGCGACGGAAGCTGTAAAATGGAAGAAAGCCCCTATACAGAGATGTGGGAGCGCAAAGCAGAATTGACGCCCTCTGCTGGGGAGTCCTGGAAGGCTAACCCAGGAGGGAGCTGGATCTCGAGAATGAGAGGAGGGGGAAGCCAGAGGAAGGGCATTCCAGGCAGAAGGACCTGCATGTCTGCATGTGAGCAAAGCCCTAGAAAATGTGACTGACTTGTTTGGAAGAAAACAAAGCTAAGGAGGGAGAAGCTGAGGCTGGAGAAGGTCACAGCCTCAGAATGTAACAAATGGCCTTTGAATGCCAAGCCAAGGATGTGGACTTCATTTTTCTGTTTACCTGCCTTGGGGTAACAATGAGACCTGGTCTCACGCTCTCTCTTTCTCCCCTGGCCTCTATGTGGCCCCGAAGTTATCGAGAAGTTTGATTATGTGTTTGCGGAGAACGGGACTGTGCAGTATAAGCATGGACGACTACTCTCCAAACAGGTCAGTGCCTCTCAGGCTTAGCCAGGGCCACCCTGCTTTCCCACAGAGGGACATTCCAAGGGTGCCTTCTGTCCCGGGCTGGGGGAGATACGTTGTACACATCCTGGGGTCGGGCAGCCCTGGCCACACTTAGAGCACTGTGTTCCTTGCCCAGACCATCCAGAACCACCTGGGAGAAGAGCTCCTGCAGGACTTGATCAACTTCTGCCTCAGTTACATGGCCCTGCTCAGGCTGCCCAAGAAGCGGTGAGTCCCAGCAGCCTGGTCTCCAGAATCTGTTCTCCAGAACTTGAGGGAGGAAAAGTGTGGGTCTCAGACCCCTGACTTCGTGGGGGGTATATTCTCTGGGGCTGTGGCTTCAGGTGGGCTGATGTGAATTTGGGGTCATTCTTATTCTGTCTGGCTCTCACCCTTCCTTACCCCATTCCATCACACCAGTGGAACCTTCATCGAGTTCCGGAATGGCATGCTGAACATCTCGCCCATCGGCCGGAGCTGCACCCTGGAGGAACGGATCGAGTTCTCTGAACTGGACAAGGTGCCATCAGCTGTGCAACCTTAGGCCTCAGTCACTCAAACTGAGTCTTTATTTTCTCATCAGTGAGATGGGTTGGAGGAGAGGTCTTCTGATTCAACCGCTACCCTTTTGGGCATGTACCCAAAATGGCAGATGTGCCCCTTGGGATTTGGCTCTTTTATTTATTTATTTTTATTTATCAAGTTTTTTTTTGAGTTGGGTTCTCCATATGTTAGCCCAGGCTGGAGGGCAGTGGTGTGATCATGGCTCATTGCAGCCTTGACTTCCTGGGCTCAAACAATCCTCTTACTTGATCTTCCTGAGTAGCTGGGACTACAGGTGCATGCCACTATACCCAGCTCCTTTTTTGATTTTTTGCAGAGACAAGGTCTTACTATGTTGCCTAGGCTGGTCTCAAACTCCTGGGCTCAAGCAGTCCTCTCACCTTGGCCTCCCAAAGTGCTGAGATTAGAGGTGTGAGCCACCACACGCTGTCAGGATTTGGCTCTTGTTCACTCTCTTCTAGTATTGGAGGGGCGTGAACATTCCTGATCTGTGTGCCCTATACTGGCCCAGATCCCGTATAAATGCTCTACTCTCCTTCGGTCCTTCAGAACCCTGAGGGAAGGATGAGTAGTCCCCTTCTTACATGAGGACACTGAGGCCAGAGGGTAAGTGACCAGCTCAAGGTCCCAATGCCAGTCCCTCCTAGACTTGGCATGTGGGGCTATCCAGTGACCAGCCTGGTTCTCTAGAGAGGGGAGGTGTATCTACCTTAGGCCACATGGAAACATCTTTTCAGAGCTTTCAGGGCCACATGGAAACATCTTTTCAGCCCTTAGCTATAGTCCTGGGCCCACAGAATGGCCTCTGGTGGGGACTTTGGCTTCTCTGGGGCCCACCCAGCTGCTGAATAGGCAAGGCCAAGACTGGCAGGGGTTTTGCATCCCTAATTTCTTTTCCATGAGACTGAAGCAGGCAAGGGTCATTCATTACCTCTTCATCTTTTAGTCTAGGAAATAGGCTCAGAGCAGTCAGGTGACTTGCCCATAGTCACACAGCTGTGCAGCACAGCAGCCAAGACTGGCTACCCACCTTCAGATCTCATGTCCTCCCTGGACACTTCTCCTGGCACCAAACTGCTGGCCACTGTCTGCCTCTCCATTCCAGTCCAACCCAGCTCTGAGTAAAGGGCAGCACTCATCACCTCATCTCCCATGCTCCAAAATCCTCAGTGGTTCCTGGTTCCTCAAGATGTGTCCAAATTTCCCAGCCTGGTCTCAAGGTCCTCTGTAAGCTGAATGTCCTGCCAAGCTCCTTCTGCTGCTTCAGCCAGATGGGGACTTTCAGCTCTGTGCCTTTGCCACAGCAGTGTATGCTGAGTGACCCGTTTGCTCCCATTAGCACAGCAGCCAAGACATCTGGTTGGGCTGGTTTACATGTTCAGCTGCCTTCTGGGCCTGCCATGGCTGTTCCCCACTGTGGCCCCAACAGGGTCAGGCCCAGAGGGATTATCAAGCTGGTGTCCCCTTACTCCCTGTTTGTAAAGCGGCTGCCAGAGTTCCAAGGTCCTGCTCAGAGGGATGGGGCCAGGACCGTATGGACACTGCTGAATGCCCCAGCCTAGCCCAGGTCATTGCATGCTCGGTGCTATGGCCACACCTTGCCCCCTAATGACCTCTCTGAGTGCCTGCTGCACGGACTCACAGGTCTTCTCCTGCTCTTAGCTCCTCACACTAATTGCTGGTGTCCAAGCCATGGTTTGCTGTGTTAACCAGGCAGAGCTGACAGAATTGAGCCCTGCCCTGAGGTGGACACTGACTTGGGACTCAGATGGTCCCCTCCCCTCGACCTTCCTCCTCATGCCTCTGCTCCAAGGTCTCCTTCAGAATACCCAACTCACACCCCATTGGCAGGGATTTGGCACTGATTTCAAAGTCAGACCTGAGTTTAGGCTGTGGCTCTGCCACTAAGGCTAGGTGACTGACCAAGGCACAAGTCTCAGTTTCCTCATCTGCACAGTGGGGTTCATACCCAACTGGAAGACTGAGCTCACATGGACTGTGTGCCCAGCACAGGCCTGGCATGCTGCAGACCCTCTGAGCTCAATCTGCTCCCTCCCTTCTGCAGAAGGAGAAGATCCGGGAGAAGTTTGTGGAAGCCCTGAAAACAGAATTTGCCGGCAAAGGGCTGAGGTTCTCTCGAGGTATGTCTACCTTGCAGGGGGCCTGGGAGGCCTGGCACATGGCCACCCTCACACTGCTCTCCTCTCCCAAGACCAGGCTATGGCCCAGTGGCTGCAGAAACCCCTCCTGCTCCTCAGCACAACAAGGGCTCAATATATACTACCCACCCCAGCTCCCCCTCCCCCAGTCTTTCCCACCTCAGCACTAAACACCCTGCACCCACCCAGTTCCTCAGGTCCAAAACCCAAGCATCTCCCTTGAGTTCTGTCTGTCACCCCTTCCCAAGTCCAGTCTGCTGTCAAATCCCAGGGCCTATGTCCAGAATGCTTCTGGAGTCTGACCGCCACTCACCTCTGCTGCCAGTAGCTCATCCCAGGCTCCAGCTGACCCAGAAGCAGCCGAACCCTCGTCTGCCACCTCGCCCCCTTTCCCAATGGCCAGAGGGGAGCCCAGCCGCATAGGGGTCAGTTGGAGCCTGGGTCATGACTTGCCTCTGCTCAAAGCCCTCAAGGCTCTTCCTCACTCTCCCAATAAAGCCCCGGACCCTCACAGGAGCCATTGCCCTGCCTCTCCCAGCATTCTCTGTTCCTGGATACTCCTCCCCTTCCCTGCCTTGGGGCAGTACTTTATTCCCCAGCCATCCCTACTCTGGGTCGGGTCCTCAGAGGTCTCCCCTGAGTGAGCTTCCCTCCTCCCTTGGGGGATCTTATTTGTTCATCTGTTCTCCCACCTTGAAAGGTAACGATATGAGGATCCTGCGTCTGTCCTGTGCCCTGTGCCTGGCATTAAGTAGGCACTCAAGTGTTGTTGAGTGAATGAACAAGGGGCCCTGCCCAAGTGTGCCCCAAGCAGCCCTTCTGCTAGCCTTGTCTGCCCCTCCCAGGAGGGAATCACAGCCCCTACCCGCTCCCACAGGAGGCATGATCAGCTTTGACGTCTTCCCTGAGGGCTGGGACAAGCGCTACTGCCTGGACAGCCTGGACCAGGACAGCTTCGATACCATCCACTTCTTTGGAAATGAGACCAGCCCTGTGAGTGCGACCCAGGCCAGGTTTTCCCTAACCCAAATTACCTGCAATCGAAGCCAGGACTCAGGGCAACAGAACTGACCTCTCGCGGGGCTCCTGGAGAAGTCATTGCTCACCAGCGCCATTACACAGATTGGAATGCTGGGGCCCAGAGAGGGCTGGACACTTGTTCCAAGTCACACAGCAAGTCAGGGCAGGTCTGGTGAGGGCTGAGATGGGCTTCCTGGTTCTGAGGGGGCAGGAGCAGGGTCAGGTCTGTAAGAGCCAGTGTTGGGAGGGGCATTTATGCCAGGCTGGCTGCTGGGTCCTTCCCTGAGATCATTTTCCAGGTTCCACCTAAACATGCCTTCTCTGCCCCTTTGCTGTGTACAGGGTGGGAATGACTTTGAGATCTTTGCTGACCCCCGGACTGTTGGCCACAGTGTGGTCTCCCCTCAGGACACAGTGCAGCGGTGCCGAGAGATTTTCTTCCCAGAGACAGCTCATGAGGCGTGACTGGGGCATACACCTGTGCATTGTGACTTCCAAAGGGAGATCCTGGGGTTGGGTGTGTGCCAGGGCCCCTCCTCTGGCCCAGGACGCCTGCCTTGTTTACCTGCTGCAAGGCCCACCCAGACGGAGCCAGGGTCTATGTGGATGACTGCCCAACCAGTCAGTTGCTGATGGGACTGGCTCCTAGGGCCCAGAATGTTCCCCGTCCTCTACCAAATGGCTCTGGCTACAGCTGCTGCTTGTATTTCTGAACAGAACAGGTTTCTATCTTCCAGGAGGAGGGGTGTACAAGTGTCAGTATGAGATGTAGCCCGCCCTGCCTTCCTGCCCCAGATGGGGTGGGGTGCAGTGGAGGAGGTGCACATTTTAGAGAACTTTATGTCACAGATATTAAAGTTCCCAGAACAAGATATGGTGTCAGTTGTGTCTGAATTGGCTCCAGTCATGAAGTTACAGCCACCATTTTGCAGATGAGGAGACAGGCACAGAGGGGCTCAGGTCCCACAGAAAGAAAGGAGGAGGCATTGAAGCCCCAAAGAAGAGCTGGTTTGGTATATCCACCTCTAGCCCCTTCCCCAAGGACCAGGACAGACAGAAGCAGATCTGGGCCATGGTGGGTCACAGTTGAGGGTTTATTGCCAGTGTTAGGAAGGATGGGGGGGTCTGGGTGGCTGGGGGGTCTTGAGAAGATTTCTGACTGGACACTGCAGGGCCCATGAGTGGGGAGGAGAGCTGCTGCCCCCTGCCACCCAGGTAGCCCCAGGGCTGATGCCATCACATCCTGCCTGCTGACAGGTGCCTAAAAGGGGGGCTTCCTCACAGGAGGGAAGGCTTGAGGTCCCCAGGAGGCAGCCTGTACTGACAAGCCTTCTGCCAAGGGACCAGGGGCCCTTGTTCCCAGGGGACGGGTCTTTTTGGAAATAGCCTAGCTCAGAGTGGGGCACCAGACAGGCTGGGCTCTCTCCAGTTTTGGGGAACTGACCAGCATGCCTCAGCAGCTCTGGGCTCCCAGCCTCTAGGTGGGCACTGCAGGCAGGGGTGAGATGAGACACCCCAGCAGATCTCACCCTGGGGTCTTGAGGCACCTGTAAGGCCAGACATCCTCCTAGACAGTCACTGACCCTCTTATCCTGGGCATTTGAGCCCCAGTTTTATTCACAGACTGGGTCTTATAAGAGTCACCATTCCTGACAGGGGCTCCCTTGAACCTGTTGCCCCATTCCTCCCCCATCAGGTGATGTGCTCTCTAGACAGGACTATGGTGGACGGGGTGGGAGATGAATGCAGGTAAGACCCTCCTTCCCAGACCAGGCCACTCTGTTCCTCTGTTCCTGCCCAAGAGTGAATGCACACACACACACACACACACACACACACACACACACACCTGCACATACACACATCTTGGCCCTAAAGGGATTCCAGGTGACATGGACAGCCACAACTTAGCAACTGGTCTGTCAGGAGCCAGTGGCTTTGGGAAGAGGGTCTGGCCTGGTGGTTGCAGGGCTGGAGGTCTCCCAGGCTGAGGGCCATCCTTGGTGCCCCGGCCTGGCCCTGCCTGAGGGATGTGTCCGTCCATCGCGGCATCCTCATCAGCCGTCATGGCCAGGCATGGTGCAGAGCATCAGGTTTGTGCATCAGACTAAAGGGGACAGCTCCACCCAAGCTGGGGAGATGGATCCCCCACCCTCTGCTGACCCTCACCTCCTCGGGGGGGTGGGGAGGCAGCTCAGCTCAGCACAGCCCAGGGGAGGGGGCACAGGGCCGTTCCTAGGCTGAGGAGGAGAGACTGACTGGCAAAACAGGAGCCCCAAAGCCCCCTTCCACCCTCAAGCCCCTCTTTCCTGCCTCTCCAGTGCACTGAGGGAGAGGAGAGCAGGAAGGAAGGCTGGCCGTGGCCTTGAAAAGGGACTGTGTGCCTCCATGTTGTGTCCTTGTCCCCTGCCAGAGGCTGGGAGGCTCCCATAAAGCACTCACTGGCCTGGCTTCTGAGGGAAAGAGTCCAGGCCATGGTGGGAGGCCCCATGGGTGGGAGATCCCACAGTGGGAGACATGAGTAGCACAGCAGAGTCTGGCCCCAGGCCAGGGCCTAGCAGAGGAGGACTCAGGAGCAGAGGCAAGGGGCAAGCCTATAGGTGGGGGGAGGGACCCACTGGCTCCCTTTGAGCCTGATGTAAGCTCTCAGAGGCCCAGTAAACGTGGGGGCAGGTGGGCAGGAGGGCGAGCAGGTCCTGTGTCTTTGGCAGGGAGGGGAGGAAAGAGAGGCAGTGGACAGCAGAGAAACCAGGTCTGATGGCCTCGCCCTCCGACCAGCTTCTGGCCAGCCCACGTGGCAGTCATGGGTCATGGGTGGGTGGAGGCACACACTCATGGCCACAAGCACGGACAGACAGACAGACGTGCACACTGAGGCCACCTGGGAGACTGGTCAGCCAGGGCAGTGAGGGCGTGGAACCGGCTGCTGCCCGTCATCCACCCTGTGTGGTTCCCTGCCCCCCAGCAAACTGGCATGTGAATCACCCAGTCTAGGAGCCCACGACCTGGCCAGACCACGTCTCATGGGGAGCGTGGGGGGCCAGCTGGGTGAGCACCACCTCCACAGCCTGGAACTTCTGGTTCTTGGGCGGGATGGGGCACATCTTGTAGGTCACCTCGTCGCCCTCCATCGGCACGTACTCCCCCTCGATGCTGGTGGGCAGGAGATAGGGGTGAGCCCAGCAGTGGGGTCCACCCCTCAGACAGCCCTGTGCCTAGGGGGCAGCCTGGTCCAAGCTAGGCTGGAGGTCTGGACCAGCCTTGCTTCTCAGAGCCCCTGCTCTCTAATCTGAAAGACGGGAATTATAATCAGGACCTTCTTTCTGTGAAAGGACACGGAGAGGTCTCTGAGGCTTTCAGAAGCTCAGTAACCTCCCCAGGTCATCCTGGAATTAGAAGTGGGTGGGGCCTGGCCTAGACTCTCTTCTCCACCTCTTTGCCTCCTCCACCTAAAAGAAACTTCCAGGCCAAGAGATTCAGGACTGGTTCAACCCTCTCAGGCCCCTGTGTACCAGAACAGGATCCCAGGGGCCCAGCAGGTGGCTTCCAGGAGTTTTGGGGTCTGCATGCCCCCTCCCCTCACTCCAGACCTCATCTGCCCACACACCCTCAGCCCCTACTGAGAGGAAGGGAAGATGTCAGGAATGCAGACCTCAGCCAGCATAGGAGGAGACCTGGGGAGGTGTTTTTTGAGGAACTGTTGGGGACACCAGGGCAGGGGCCCAGCTGAGAACAGGGAGGTGAAAGGAACTCACTCAGATACATGTACGAAGATGTCCTCGGACCCGTTCTCCGGGGTGATGAAGCCATGGCCCTGTGAGCGTGAGAACTGCTTACAGACTCCCTTGAAAACGGGGCCAGCCGAGGCACGGGCTGTCCTGGAGATAGGGTAGGGGGATTGGAGTCATGGCCTGGGGAGCCCCCTCCCTGGACCCTCACAGTCTTCCTGAGCCCTGCCTGCTGAGCCTGCCTCAGGCCTGCAAGAAACCCGTGGCGGGCCAGAAACCCCACAGGTATATTCACTCAGGTCTCACATTATCCCCATTCGACAGGTAAGGAGACTGAGGCCTAGAGAGGGGAACAGCCCCTCTCTAGAATAGAGAATAGCACAGCGAGTGGGACTTCAGACTCCCAGACAGCACCCCACCCTCTTCATGGCACCCTCCCCTCCTGGGGTTGTTTGAGCTTAAATGGATTCCTGTTATGTGATTTTTTTTTTTTTTTGAGTTGGAGTCTCACTCTGTCGCCCAGACTGGAGTGCAGTGGCCGTTCCCGGCCACCGCAGCCTCGACCTGCTGGGCTCCGGCGATCCTTCCACCTCAGCCTTCCGAGTAGCCGGAATTACAGGCACACGCTACCACGCCCGGCTTTTTTGATTTATTGTAGAAATGAGGTCTCGCCAAATTGCCCATGCGGGTCTCGAACCTGCAGGCTCAGGCAATTCACTCACCTCAGCCTCCCAAAGGCACGTGATTACAGGCTGAGCCACCGAGCCCGGCTCTGTTATGTGATTTCTGAGTAAAGATTATCCAGCATAGACTTGACTATCTCCCAAAATGGAGAGCTCACTGTTTCCTGAAGCAGCTCCATACTATTCACTCCTTAATTCAATCATCATTTACTAAACATCTTCTCTGTTCCTGGCCTTGGATCATTCTCAGAAGACAATCAGCACTGGCCATCAAAAGATTCTTTTGGCCAGATGTGGTGGCTCATGCACATGTAATTCTAGAACTTTGGGAGGCCAAGACAGGAGGATTGCTGGAGCACAGGAGTTCAAGGCCAGCCTAGGCAATATAGTACAACCCTGTCTCTACCAAAAAGAAAAAAAAGTAGCTGGGCATGGTGGCATGAGCCTATAGTTTCAGCTACTTGGGGCTGAGGTAGGAGGATCACCTGAGCCCAGAAGGTTGAGGCTGCTGTGAGCTGTGATTGCTGTGATCATGCCGTTGCACTCCAGCCTGGGCAACAGTGTGACTCCAACTCAAAAGAAAAAACTCTTTTGGCCAAGTCAACTCTGTCTACCTGTGGCTCCCGATCCCCACATAACCTCACTCAGTGACCTCTCCCAAAGGGCTTGTCTCTGTGCAGCCTGCCCACCCCTCTCCAAAGGTTAACTCATGTCTCAGTTTTTGCCCACTTGTGCCATCTGTCTGGAACCTCCCAACTCCCTTCTTCATTTGATACATCTTCCAAACCCAACTGGGACATCATCTCCCCTGATACCCCAGGATGGATTCTCATCCCTAACCTTGCTGGGAGGTCATGGATGGGGATGGTGGACAAATTCCCTCTGGACTGTTAGCAGTTTGTGGGCTGGGACTTTGTCTTATTAATCACTGAACCCATAGCCGGCGTGGTAGCGCGTGCCTGTAGTTCCAGCTACTCGGAAGGCAGAGGCGGAAGGATCGCCGGAGCCTAGCAGGTGGAGGCTGCGGTGGCCGGGAGCGGCCACTGCACTCCAGTCTGGGTGACAGGGTGAGACTCCAACTCAAAAAAAAAAAACAAAAACAAAAACAAAAGATCACTGAACCCCTTGGTCAGGAGCTCAATAAATCTTTGTGGGATGGATGGATGGATAGATGGATGGATGGCGAAAAACTCTGCAGTTACTAGAACATTACAAACAGCTCCCCTGCCCTCAGTGAGGACACCAGGGATTGGAGGAGAATGGGGATGGGCAGCCAGGGGCTGAGTGAGCCCTGTCCTGGGGAAAGGTCATGAGCCTGAGTGAAGGGCAGGTACTCACGCCGAATACGTCCTGGTCCGTTTGGTGGGCAGAGGACTGGGCAGATCCCGAGATGAGACACCACCCCGTTCCCAGACCCTGCTGCCCTCCCGGTGGAAGGGGAAGGTGGGCCAGACAGGGGACTTGGGAGAGTGGAGCGGGGGCACAACCGGGGGCGACGTGGACTCGGAAGTCATGGTGGGGCCAGCAGGAGAGCCTGGTGGGCTCTGGGGCCCAGGGGCCGGTGGAGGGCTTGGGCGTCCTTGCGGGCAGGGCCCGGCCTGGCCCTGCTCTGCGGCCTCACCAGTCACAGGCTCCGTCTGAAAGAGGGAGAGAGGTACAGGTGAGTACAGCCCGGGGTGGATAGATCCTGGATCCTGGACACATGTCAGGAGGGCCAATCCTGCCTGTCACTCCTCACAACAGGACTTCAGGCAACCCACGGCCCCTCACTGGCTCAGTGTCCTTACCAGAAAGACAAACTGGTAAAACAACCCCTAAGTCCTTCCAGTTTCCAGTTCAATTCTCTTACCCCAGGGGCCGGGGAAGTGGCTGGGTAAGGTGGCCAATGATGGCCAGCAATATGGTTTGGCACAAAGGACAGCTATTTCAAATCCACAGACCTGGGTTCGGATCTCAGCTTTGTCACCTACAACTTGGTGACCTCAAGTAAGCCACCCAGTAGGTCCAACATGGTGGGTGAGAGTGTGGGTTCCAGACCCAAGCCTGGGTTTGAATCCTGGCTCCTCCGTCTACTTACTGCCTGCGTGGACTTGGTCAACACTCTTTTTTTTTCTGGTCAACATTCTTAACCTCTGACTCCATTACTTGCTCTGCAAAATGGGACTAGTGTCAGTTCTTGTTTCACAGAGATGTTACTGTGAGGACTAAGTGACTTTCCACATGTTCAGAGCAGGACAAGCATGTGGTGAGCCCTTGGGAACATAGGCTTTTTCCTTAGCCCCAGTTTCTGCCTCTCTAAAATGAGGATGATAATATGCAACACACAGGATGCCAAGGATTTAGTGACTTAGCTTGTGTGCAGCATCTAGATACCAGATACCCAAAACGTCGCTATTATCAATGCCGATTCACAGAAATCCCCAAGTCAACAGCTTAGCACCTAGATGGCCTTGAGAAATCCATCCTATATTTTTCTCTACCAAGGAAAAGAACATCATAATTCCCCCACCCATACAGCCCCCTACTCTTCCCCAAGGGTTGGGAAGAAATGCTGCAGTGGAACCCTGGGGAGGAATAGGAGGCCTGCCGCAGTGGAGCTAGGAAGGACCCCAAGACCAGGAGAGGTCCAGCTCTGTTACTTGTTAGCTGTTGACCTTGGGAAATACTTCTATTGATCTTGGTTTCCTCCTCGTACAATGGAGCGGATAAACCCTGCCTTACTCTTTCACAGGCTATGGTGAGGTTTGGCTGAACCTGGGTATATGAAGAAGCTCCTGTAGTCCATGGTCACATAAAAGTGGGGGTGGCCGGGCTTGGTGGCTCAGCCTGTAATCCTGCGCTTTGGGAGGCCGAGATGAGTGAATTGCCTGAGCCCACGGGTTTGAGACCTGTTGGGAGCCGGCCACGGAGGCCCACTGAGCATTAGGGATCAGGAAGGGCCATTGACCCCAAGACCACT